AGTTCACACTTGCTCGGTTTCAGCTTCAGTCCAGCGTTTCCTAGTCGGCGTAGGACTTCACCAAGACGCTCAATATGCTCGGAAAATGTTGATGACAGGATGATGATATCGTCTAGATATATCAGCAGAGTTCGCCATTGCAGACCTTTGAGTACTAGCTCCATACAGCGCTCAAAGGTACTGGGTGCGTTGCATAACCCAAAAGGCATGGTCACGTACTCGTACAGTCCACTTCGGGTTACGAACGCGGTTTTGGGACGGTCTTCCTTCATCACTTCAATCTGCCAGTAGCCCGACTGCAGATCGAGAGTGCTGAAGATTTTTGCCCCACTCAGGCAATCTAGGCAGTCATCAACACGGGGTAGGGGATACGCGTCACGGCGCGTAACATCGTTCAGCTTACGATAGTCGACACACGGACGAGTTGTGCCGTCCTTTTTCCTAACAAAAACCATTGGTGATGCCCAGGGGGATGTTGACTCGCGGATCACACCCGCCTTGAGTTGGCTCTCGAGAACTTTCTCCTCCTCGCCCTGAAATGCCTTGGGGGGACGGCGGGGAGGCTGTCGTATGGGGCGTGCGTCGCCGGTGTCAATAGTGTGCTGCACTATTGACGTTTTTCCCAAATCCTCCGCGGATTTGGCAAAAGTGTTCTCGTGGCTGGCCAAAAGTTCACACAATGCTTTCTGCTGGTGTGGGGACAGGTTTTCACAACTCCTCTCGTACAGTTTCTGTAGGTTTTCTGACCACTTGTCAGAAGGATTTGGGGTGTCGGGGACGGCGGGACTGACTGGGTTGACTGCGTATGACGTTGGGCGGGCATGCTCTCTGCACACTCGCATTACTCGATAGAGGTGATCGGTTTCACAGTTTTCCTGCTCGGCTATGAGTTCAACCGCATCAACTTCATGCAGATATCCAAGCGTTGTACCTGCCTGAAGTTCAATGTTCTCGGGTGAAGTGTTCACAAGTCGGACAGGTATGCCGATGTCTTCTCGGCGGGGATCAATGAGTGAACTGCCAACCACAACATTGTGACGAAGGTTGGCAGGTTCAACGACTGCATACATGGAACTCAGTTTGTGATGATCAGCTATGCCCTCTGCTACCCACTCGCTGCATGCTGGAATTGTAGTGTTCTGCTTCAGTGCGATCTTAACTACACGGGGAGGGGCTCCTTGGACTGTCCACTGAACCCAGTTACCGGCAATTCGTATGCCGTTACGTGCCTCCAATATGCAATCATAGTGGTATAGAAAGTCATAGCCAAGGATTCCTTCATCGCTGATGGGGGCGACAAATGCATCCCATTGGAAGTGCTGTTCACCAATCATCATGTCGATTGTGGCAACACCTTCAATGTCAATGAGTTCCTTGTTTGCAGTTTCTAGTTTTGTGCTTTTGCACGGGGGTTTGAGTTCAGGGCGTTTTTTCAGCAGGGATCTGGCTGAAAAGTGCTGAAGAAATGATGGTCACCGCCGCTCCGGTGTCGACTAAAAGTTCGCTGTCTTGGTCGCATATCTGCACTCGCAAAAATGCAGACATGCCTTGAAATTGCTGTCTACCCATTCGGATAGTATTCTGTTCATTGGGACGGACCGGTGCCAGGCCGGACGGCACGGTCCGCGTTACTTTTCCGTCTGTATGACGACGACCTCCTTGGCCGCTATGTCGGGGCACTTGTTTGCAAAGTGGCCGGGCTTGCCACATTTGAAACAAGTAACATCCATCTGCTGTTTCTTGGCTTCAGCAGGCTTGGCGGATTTCTGCTTGTAGGCGGGCTTATCTTTGATCAGTTTGACAATTCCGTTTAACCGTCGGTCGAGGTTGTCTTGGAACTGTTTAAACTGCTTTTGGTTGACGAACCCGGGATCAGCCTCAGATGCTGCCTGTACGGTGTTCACACGATGTGATTTTCCCAAGCTTGTGGTGTCACGGAGGCTCAGGAAGTTTTCCACCGCCGTTGTTGCCTCCTCGAGGGACTGGGGATTCGTCATGCCAACGGAAACTGCCATCTGTTGGTCGGGGAGGCCCTTCAGAAAATGGCGAAGGGCGATGCTCTCTCTGGTAACTGGATCTGCCGTAGGGTAGCCCCGAAAGACAAGGCGGCGAATGTCGGCTACAAACTCCGCCAGCTTCTCCTTCGGCTGATGTCTCCTCGCTTCTAGCTGAGCGATGTAGTAATTTGGCAATTGTCGTTTACCAAGCTCCTTCACCAGGGTGTCGGACGACTTGATTGCTTCGGGATCCAGTTGCTGGTACACGTACTCGGCCGCCTTTCCACGTAGACTGCTGACAAGTCGGAAGCGCTTTTCTTCCTCGGACCAGCCGCAAGCCTCGGCGAGACCCATCAGAGGTCGGACGAAGCCTTCCCATGACTTCGTGCCGTCAAATTCTCCTTGGCGAGGGAGAGGAACATCCAGCTTATGACTCGGCTGGGTTCGGCTGCTTGCTCTGCTGCTGTTGGTTTAGGGGCGTCAGCTTGTGGGACGGTGGAAGGGGCAGTACTGGGAGCAGACATCACTGGCTGTGAGTCCTTGGGCGATTTCGCTGAAACATTGGCATCCGTCTGCTCAGCCGTTGATGGGCTCTGTAATGCAGCAGTTGCTCGGAGTTGTTTCAGCTCTTTCTCCGCCTCCACTGAACGAAGCTTGAAAAGTTCGAACTGTTTTTTAAGTTCTTGAAGTTCTGCACTCTCTTCCTGTAGACTTGAATACAGGTTGGTGTCATCATCATCATACAACGACTGTAACCTGCGAGATTTTCGCTTGGCAGGCATGTTGGCTGCTGATATTGACAAGCAGAAAGTCAGAGTCTAAAGCTGGGAGGTCCGTTCAGTGGAGGGGTACATGAAGTGACTTAATTAAAAGTCATGGTATAGTTCGATGGTGTGTGTAAGTTCGTATCCCAGCGCTTGCCACCAGTGTAACGTCTCTCTCAGGTTGAGAGACATTATCAAATAAAGAGTCAGATACAAATATCTTACACACACACTCTAGTACTTTATTCAGGATTATTTACATCTCAGGTCAATAGAGGGCGCACTATATACAATGTAAAGTTACGGCGTACATACGTAGGGTCTATGGCCAGTGAGCGGACAGCTCGATAATCTACGTGTACATGTCAGGGACTCTGTCGGGGTCAGAGCCCAGATCAACAATGACCAGAACTGCCATTTCTGCGCGCTTTATATACACTTTTGGGTGCGCGTCTTAGCCAATGGGAGCATTGGATTCTGGTAGTTATGAATAATGCATCCGTGTACAAAGGCATGGGGAAAGTTCTCTATGGGAGATTTGTACACGACTGACTTAGACATTCTAGTGGAAGAAAGTCCGAGAGCAGTGGTTAGCGGGCGAAGTAGGATCACTCGTGGGTGCGTTACGGGGAACTGATCCTCAAGGAAAAGGGAAAGGGAATAACTTCTCAGTACATAGGTTTGTGTACAAGACTTAGTCTCTAAGACTAGGTAGGAATCTACACACTAATGCTATGGAGTAAAACTATGAGACGAAGGACGTAACCTGACCTCTAGCTACCGTAGGTCTCGGCCAGTGGGTTAGCGGGACACAATCGCTGGGGTGTACGGGGTCACTGAGGGGTGAATACACGGGTAGGTTTTAGCGAGCCACATTCGCTAAATGCTTGGGGTCAATGTGGGTCGGATGCGAGGTAAGGTGTGTGAGGGGAATTCGCATCGACTCCGGGGAAAGGTGGAGGGAAAATGGCGAAGTCCTAAGTACATGTCCCATGGCGGTACATGTTCAATAGCAGTGAGTGCTACACGCATTGCGCGCTATACAATAGGGTACTGTACAATGTGCTGCACACTTCTACGTGTGTCTAAGACTTCGTGGTAAAGCTTCGCGCTGTGTGAGGGCACACAGGATCGCTGCAAGCATTACGCTGTGCACGGAGTGGAATGGACTGGTTGGGAAAGAAGTAAACTACGCAATTTGCGGGAACGCAACAATATGTAAAAAGTTATAACAGTGCTCACCGTTGATCGTTATAGGTGCCAAATTTTTGGACAGATGTCTGAAAATTTGGCACCTCTAACAATTAACGATGAACACTGTAATAATTTGTATATTGTCTACTGTACAAAATGTATGTTTACATGTAAATCTGACTTGACTGTAGAAACATTAGAAACCTTGCTTACATGTAACTCGAACTCCAGATACGTCAAATTTTTTTATCCATTCCCTGAGTGTCGAGTTCTCGGGAGTTTACTGTACCTTACTTGATGATATTGTAGCGTTTTGAGATTATCAATTCTTAATTATCAATTCGTCTTAGTTTTTAGTTAATTATCACACTTTAATTATCAATGTTCCTTTTGAACTTTTCAATGATTATTTCTCCTGAATGCATTACTCATCGTTTTCCTTGTATACACATACACCCACACAGTGCCTATGCAATGTGTAGTCCCTATACTTTTATACAGAGTAAATGACCTTCACTGCCCACACACACAAGTCATTGGTCAGTTTCTTCGTACAACCAAGTTACTTTCAAGATCATTGTTTTAAGGAACTATATTACTCATTCCTAGTCATTTTTCTGAGACTCAAGGAAACCAAGATATGACTAAGTTTTCCCATTCTTAAGTATTTCTTATTCTCAAGACTTCCTGTTTCCACCAGTATATAAGTCCTGCTCCACTAGCAGTTCTTCATTCCATTTCTATTCCATTCTGTTTTCTATTCTATTCTGTTTTCTGTTTCAATTCCAATCATGTAGTCAGTTCACCCAGTTCTCTTTGTCTCAATTCACTGTAACCAGTTCAATCATTCAATGTGTAAATAACATAGTTGTTGTGGAATAAACAGTCACGGTAAACACAGTCCTCAACCAAAGAATTGTGTATCGACTCATCCATTCCCCAACAAATTGGTGACCCAGACAACAGTGAACACAGCAACTTGGCGATCCAGTGATACCGACAATTGAACTTTATCAAAACTGAACTGCTACAACATTGCTTAACTATGACTACTCCCAGTACCAGCACCACTGTTAATCCGCCCATCGCTGCGGTTAGTTTAAAATTGCCACCGTTTTGGCCAAATGACCCACTCATTTGGTTCATGCAAGTTGAGGCCCAATTTTTAACTCGTGGTGTTACTTCAGAGGAGACACGTTACGCATATGTAATCTCTTCTCCTCAACCCTCCATCGCACAAGAAGTGCGGGACATTCTCATCAACCCGCCTTCCACCCAGCCCTTCACAGTGTTGAAGGAGGAGCTCATCAAGCGGACTTCTGAATCGGAGAAAAAACGGCTACAGAAACTCCTGACAACTGAAGAGTTGGGGGACCGGAAACCATCCCAACTTCTGCGCAGAATGCAACAGCTGCTTGGTGAGTGCAAGTTGGAGACATCCATCTTCAAGCAACTGTTTCTCCAACGCCTTCCTGGCAACGTACAACTCGTGTTGGCCTCCACCGCCGATGATGTCAACATTGAGCAGTTGGCTAAACTGGCCGACAAAATTGTGGAAGTCACACCTCTTCCCAGCCATGTTGCCACGGTAACAACTGGGGAGAGTTCACCTTCACAGGCTACACAATTTCAACAACTAGCTGAACAAATCACCCTGCTCCAAGCACAAGTTTCTGCCTTGTCCAGTCAACCTCAGCGTCGTAGCCGCAGCCAGTCCCGTGATCGCCATCGACGCACCCGCAGTCCATCTCCCGATACTCTCTGCTGGTATCATCGCAAGTTTGGTGCTAATGCTCATAAGTGCACCAAACCCTGCTCTTTCACTACACCTGCCTCCTCGTCTTCGGGAAACGGCCCAGCCAGCAACTAGCGGCGACAAGCTCTGCTGGCCCGTCCTCATCTAGTCGCCTATTCTATGTAACGGACAGAGCAACGAAACAGCAATTTCTCATCGACACAGGAGCAGAGGTAAGCGTCATACCATATTCCTCTCGTGAACGTCCTCACCATCGTCACGGTCAAGATCTTCAAGCGGCAAATTCCTCAGCAATTGCCACTTATGGAGAACGATCTTTGACTCTTGACATTGGACTCCGGCGGCCATGCCGCTGGGTTTTCATTGTTGCTGATGTCCAACACGCAATCATAGGCGCTGATTTTCTGCGACACTTCAACTTCCTTGTTGATCTTCGCCATCGCAGATTAATTGATGCAACAACTACATTGAGTGTTACAGGAACATCCTCGAATGCACCACTGCTCAGTCCTGTCCTCGCGACGCCAACCTCATCACAGTTCGCGGACATTCTGAAAGATTACCCCGACATTACGAGACCTTGCTATCGTGACACACCAGTGAAACACAATGTCACACATCACATCGTCACGACAGGTCAACCTTCTGCCGCACGTCCACGCCGTCTTGCACCGGACCGTCTTAAAGTAGCGAAAGACGAGTTTCAACACATGATGGACTTAGGCATCATTCGGTCATCGGACAGTAACTGGTCATCTCCACTTCACATGGTCCCCAAGAAACAACCTGGCGACTGGCGACCATGTGGAGACTATCGCGGACTCAATCGCGCCACTGTGCCTGACCGATATCCTGTTCCGCACCTCCAAGATTTCGCCGCATCCCTACACGGTATGACAGTATTTTCGAAGATTGATCTTGTCCGTGCTTATCAAATTCCAATGGCACCTGACTCAATCTCGAAAACGGCCATCACTACTCCCTTCGGACTATTTGAATTTGTCCGCATGCCATTTGGGTTACGCAACGCTGCCCAAACACTTCAGCGATTCATTGATGAAGTCACTCGTGGACTTGATTTTTGCTACGCTTACATTGATGATCTGTTGGTCGCTAGCACAGATGCTGACCAGCACGCACAGCATCTCCGCCTACTGTTCGATCGTCTCAGTCAGTACGGAGTCATCATCAACCCTGCAAAATGTCGGTTTGGCGTGAACTCACTTGAGTTCCTCGGACACCAAGTCGACTGCCATGGGGTACGTCCACTCGCAGAAAAGGTCAGTGTAATCTTGAACTTTCCTCCACCTACTACACTGACAAAGCTGAGAGAGTTTCTTGGACTTGTTAATTTCTACCGCCGCTTCATCCCACGGTGCTCTCAGGTCCTTCATCCTCTCACAGCTCTGCTGGCTAACACTGGAAAAAAGTCAGCACCAATCACATTCAATGACGCAGCTACAGCCTCATTTGAAGAAATCAAAGCTGCTCTCGCAAACGCTACCCTCCTCACACATCCCAAGCCAGATGCTCCGCTGAGCGTCATGACGGATGCTTCGGATGTTGCAGTAGGAGCTGTTCTTCAACAATGGGTAGATGATTCATGGCAGCCGATCTCATTCTTCTCCAAAAAGCTCCAACCAGCCGAAACGCGCTACAGCACCTTTGGACGAGAACTCTTAGCTGTGTATTTGGCCATTCGCCATTTCCGTCACTCGCTCGAGGGTCGAGAGTTTCACGTGCTCACTGATCACAAGCCCCTCACATACGCTCTGTCAGCATCAATGGACAGACATTCCCCACGTGAGATTCGCCATCTTGATTTTGTTTCACATTCACTTGTGACATCAGATACGTCAAAGGTGGTGACAACCCTGCCGCGGACGCTCTTTCGCGTATTGAGCTCAACTCCCTCAGTCCAGAGCAGTCCCACACATCCATCGATTTCAACCAGATGGCTGAATTACAACGACAGTGTGACGAACTCCAACAACTTCGTCAATCCTCATCCTCGCTGTCTCTCAAGGACATGCCACTCCCATCATGTGACACGACCCTTACCTGCGACATGTCCACAGGTAATCCACGACCATTCGTCCCAACTGACTTGCGACGTCAGGTATTCAACGCATTTCATTCCTTGTCACACCCTGGTATTCGTGCTTCTCAACGCCTCATCACAGACCGCTATGTCTGGCCAAGTATCAACCGCGATGTAAGAAATTGGACAAAATCTTGCATACAGTGTCAGCGAGCTAAAATCCATCGTCACACCGCTGCACCACTTTCCCAGTTCAAAGGCCCAAGTGCACGATTTGATCATGTACACATAGATCTAGTTGGTCCTTTGCCACCTTCCAATGGATGCCGTTACCTCCTGACTTGCATTGATCGCTTCACGCGATGGCCAGAAGCCATCCCCCTGCCTGACATCACAGCAGAAACAGTAGCCCGTGCTTTCATCACTAGATGGGTTGCTGCATTTGGTGTACCATCTACCATCACAACTGATCGTGGTACTCAGTTCGAATCAGCTCTTTTCGGCGCTCTCACCAATATGCTCGGTACCAAACGCATCCGCACCACAGCATACCACCCAATCGCGAATGGACTTGTCGAGAGATTCCATCGCCAACTAAAGACGTCGATAAAGGCGCAGTTGAATCCTAACAACTGGACAGAAACACTACCACTTGTTCTTCTTGGGATCCGCACAGCAGTCAAATCCGATTTCCATCACAGTGTTGCTGAACTCGTATATGGCACTACCCTTCGCTTACCTGGCGAATTTTTTGACAGTTCTAGTGACATTGCTGAGTTGGACCCGACAAACTATGTTCATCGCCTGAAACGCACCATGCATGAACTTCAGCCACCTACACCCCGCGCGCAACAACGAACAAAAACCAACGTTCCAGACGATTTACATTCATGTACCCATGTTTTCGTTCGTCGAGATTCTGTGCGCAAACCCCTACAACCACCATATGATGGACCGTACAAAGTTCTCAGCCGTTCTGCTAAACACTTTGTCGTCGATTTGAACAATCGCACAGATACTTTCAGCATCGACCGACTGAAAAGTGCGCATTTAGACACTTCTTCTCAGAACACCGCAGTTCCGAAGTCATCACTTCAGTCCGACCCCTCAGTTGACTCAAATGTTCATCCTGAGAACACTAATAACGCAACTCGCACAACCCGTTCTGGACGTAGAGTGCATTGGCCTAAACGCTATGTTACATTCGCTCGTTAATTGCCACACACTCACTGGAAGGGGGCTCCTGTAGCGTTTTCAGATTATCAATTCTTAATCATCAGTTCGTCTTAGTTTTTAGTTAATTATCTCACTTTAATTATCAATGTTCCTTTTGAACTTTTCAATGATTAATTCTCCTGAATGCATTACTCATCGTTTTCCTTGTATACACATACACCCACACAGTGCCTATGCAATGTGTAGTCCCTATACTTTTATACAGAGTAAATGACCTTCACTGCCCACACACACAAGTCATTGATCAGTTTCTTCGTACAACCAAGTTACTTTCAAGATCATTGTTTTAAGGAACTATATTACTCATTCCTAGTCATTTTTCTGAGACTCAAGGAAACCAAGATATGACTAAGTTTTCCCATTCTTAAGTATTTCTTATTCTCAAGACTTCCTGTTTCCACCAGTATATAAGTCCTGCTCCACTAGCAGTTCTTCATTCCATTTCTATTCCATTCTGTTTTCTATTCTATTCTGTTTTCTGTTTCAATTCCAATCATGTAGTCAGTTCACCCAGTTCTCTTTGTCTCAATTCACTGTAACCAGTTCAATCATTCAATGTGTAAATAACATAATTGTTGTGGAATAAACAGTCACGGTAAACACAGTCCTCAACCAAAGAATTGTGTATCGACTCATCCATTCCCCAACAATATTTTCCTCATTTCTACCTCCATGAACAGACATGGATTGTGTTTCCAGTGCCTGCCTGTTTCTGTGGGCTTAATTCCCAAATGTAGTCTTCAGGCATGTCAGGGTCTTTATGTTGCCTCTTCATTATTCTTTCCATTTCTTAATAGGTTTCCAAACTTCAGTTCCTTGGCAATTTTGGCGAACTCTTAATTGAAAGTCATTACAAGAAAGAATTTAAGGGTCATTCCATGTCAAATCACCCAATGGGTTAAACCCCACTCCCTTCAATTGGTTCATTTTTTAGTGTATGGGGTAATTTTGGCTGGAAATGCTGAAATTTTAAGTTTTAGCGCTACCACCCGCCACTTTCAAATTTTCAAATGACCATATAAGTTGTTCATCGAAGTTCGTCTCAAGGTCACGGTGTCCACAAGGTCAAAGTAAAGGTCAAATGGTCATCATACATGTACTTCAACTTATTCAAGCTACTCAACAAGAAAATAATGGTAAATTTGGATTTCTTATGATGTTACCTTTCCAAAGCAACCAAGATCAACAAATCTGCAACCATGCCCATCTTGACGAAAAATACCACAGAGTGTTAGGCAATAGCACAAAAAAATTTGGCTCCGATGACGCCCAAACTGAAGATTTCAGCTTTTTCAGCCTAAATTACCCCATAAACTAACGTACTGTCAACCAGTTTGAAGGGGGTGGGGTTTAAAGTTTCAATTTATCCGGTGATTTGACACGGAATGACCCTGAAATGAATTTTATTAACAAAATGACATACATTTGGTGTCAGACCTTCCAATTTGCTATCTAGCTTGTGATAGAGAGATGTTTATAAGTTTTGGAGTGACAAAACACAATGTGTAAGTTGCTGTTACCAATAGGTGTATACAATTACAATGTACTTTATTATGCAAATTTGTACTGTGTCTTCTTGCAGGCATGTGATTCTACCTTCAGCCCTTGTCAAATTGCTTCCCCGAAACCATTTGATGACTGAGACAGAATGGAGAAACCTAGGGGTGCAACAGAGTCCTGGATGGGTACACTATATGATCCATAAACCTGGTATGTTTTTCCTCATATACACATACTGGTCACATTGCATCAAATACAAATGTACATGTAGCTTCCCTTGTCAATGACATCCTTCCTCTGTGAATAATCTAATCATCAAACAAAAGGTTTTCTGCGT